GCTCAATAAATACTTAATGATCATAACACAGAATCAAGGAAAATACCTACAGGATAATTTTTCTCATTTCTCTAAAACTAAACACTAGACTTTGTATACAAATGCATCTTTTAACCAAAATTATTTTAAAATTTTAGAAAACAATTCATGGTTGACAGCTTGAGAAATTAAGAGAGCAACAGAATTAGGTACTGAGGTGAACAATCTTACAAATATATATTAAGAAAACAGATTAAAATAGACATCTGAAAATTTGTGATTAACATTTTACATTTTCCCATTTCTATTACTCTCCAGAAACCTTACAAAGACACCTCTCAAAATTTTAACAATATGCTTATAGAGTCTATTTCTGTTGTTGCTACAGACATGCATAGCAGGAGATACTGTTCTTCTATTGGATACTTCATTACAATGTTCAATGCCTTTTTATTTTATAGGTATTGACCACTAATTCTTGAGTCTAACTGTAATTCCAAAATCAAACTAAATCTGATGCCTGGAATGAAAAACATCTAGAGAAACTAACTTTTGTTTAATACACACTCTGCACAGATGAGGGACAAATTCCCATATGTACCTACAGGACTTCTTAAATAGCATTCCTAATACAAAAGAAGTTATATATACTTTTAATCTCTGACCACAATTCATTCAGGGCAAGGCCCATTAGTTCAGAGTAGAACACCTGAAACTGGCTTTAGCAGCCCTTCTCATCTTCCTAATATAAATTATAGCTCTGAGGCCCAGGTATACTATACGTCAACTTGATCCTTCCCAAGGCTCTTTTGCAAAAATTCCATTTTTCTTAACCCTAGTCTCCTTCCTTCTCTTTCTAATCTTTAATATCCTCTTTTTTCCTAATGCCAGATCCAAAGTCATCCATTTGAGGAAAATATATACATAATAAAACCCATATACTAGACTAGGGGAAAATGAATTCATGGTTGCAGAGGATGTGAATCTAGATACCGGTTTCCATTCAGTTCTTATTCAGATTTAATGTGAAGTAAAATGTTAGTAACATGCTTGCATACCATGTAACTCGCATGTCCTATTTCTCCTATGAAACATTTCTACCAGTCTTTTGATTCTACCATAGTCTACTGGGCATATTATAAATGCTTTCAAAATTTAATTGAGTGGAATCAGTAAGTTAATTACTACTAATCAAGAATCCTATCTTGTTTCAACTATACATGATGAAAACATTTCTAATACATTGTTAATATGCTACTGATTTTTTTCCTTCCATTATCTCAGAGTCAGCCCGACCAATTATCAAAGATAAAGTGTGAAGTATGAATCTGAAAACAGACAACCTGGGTCCAAGTCCCAGTTCTGCCACTTACTGTATTCTTAGGCAAATTAATTACTTGACTTCTCTGAGCCCCAACCTATTAACTCTTCATTTGTAAAATGAGGATGATATAAAACTACCTCAGAAAATTATTTTAAGGGTCAATTTATACAATATAAAAAACACCACCTTATAAATTATAAAGCCCTTTAGTTGTGATCAAGTAATTTAAAACATCTTTTTAGAGCCCAGCTCAATTTCCCTAAAAAATTCTTATGGGGGAAGAAAAAATTACTGATATAAGATTTTATTGCCATGTGTTTATTTTCCTAAAAAAAAATTTCAGATAAAAAGAAAACTGGTTAAAGTTTACTATATTCTTTGTGAACAAAATAAACCACTAAACTACAGCCTTCTCTTTGCACTACTTATAATGGAGAAGCAGTTCAAATGCCCAACAAGAAAGGCTGGGCTTATTAATCTGATGTTATAATATTACTATTTTAATTAAAAATATGTAAAGGACCAAAACATGGACATATTTATATGAGACACTAAACAGGAAGAGAAAGAAGTCCAAGATAATATTCACTGATGACAATTATGTTAGAAGCATGAATCTTTATCTATACTATATTTTTGCCAATGTCAAACCAAATATAAAAATAGCCATACTGATCACCTAAAATATTCCCATCAGGAAAAGGAATATTTTTCATTATATCAAGTTCATTAAGGAGTAATCTTAATGAAGTCTTTTGAATTTCGTTAGTTTTTATTAAGGCACAATATTTGGCTAAAGGAAAACTAATGAGAGAATAGCTTCAAATTATACAAATAAATTTCACTGAATAGAAACACAAAGCTTTCACTAGTTTCACAAATACACATATATACTTCATTTGGCTTGTCTCATATATTTTTATATACACGCAGCCCATTATGATTTAATTATAAGATTCGAGATCTCACTATAAGAGCAATGGGGTCTGTGCAATTTATTTTTGTTTACCTTCAAGCATTTTCCACTTTTAGAGTAGAACCAAAGACATGTTATATGTAGGGGGTGACAGTGGGGAAGGGGCGATGGGGAGAAGGCCAATATGACATGATTGCCTAGACAATTTAGCAATTCAACAATTCTACTTCCAAACTATAAACTTTTGTTAAAACCCTTTCAACAAAAGTTTATTAGGGTCATCTATATACTCAAGTTCAATAAGACAAGCCCAGGCCAAATTTCAGAAATGTTCAAGAAATACTACATCAAGATACCTAGATATCCTTAAAGAATAACTTCGTATCTCTTTTATTTTTTAGTTCTTATAATAAAGTTTATAGATGTGCTTCGGGGAGAGAGGAGAGTATCTGTAAATGGTATATAAAATTCCATGTAGATGTGTGTAGGTATTTGCAGTTTCTGACTCAGAGTCCACACCTATCATATTCTCAGTGGATTTCATGACCTCAAAAGAGGCTGAGAATTGCTACAATGTATTTCACAGGGTCCACTTTCCAAATCTAAGAGCAGTAATTATATCTCAGTTGATTATTAATTGCTAAGTAAAATAAGGCTTTCCACAAAAAAATGAAGGCTCATAAGCTTTATGGCTGCATCCATAGAATAAAAGCAGAAGTCTGAACTTAATTACCCTAGGAAAGATACTGCTTGTCAGTATACAATCCACTCCATAGTATTAGAAAAAATTAACATCTCCTTACCAAAAAGCCAAGATTTGCCTCCAACAACCTAGACTACTTAGGTCATATAAACTATCTTTTTTCAATAATCCTTTGCACTGTCTATATTTTTCTGCAATAATTAAAAGGTGTATACAATTATTCACCTATTTTACTACCTTAGTTATCAAGACACAAAATAGCCTATTAACTATCTGCTTACGAAAGTCCTAGCTTTCAGTACTTCGAAATAAAAATCATTGTAAGATATCAAAGGAAACAGCATTATCTACCTAAAGAAAAATAAAGTCGTTCTTTTCCTAGTTAGTCTATGTTAACTCTATAAGAAGCATTTGCCATAAGCTATCTAAAATAAGCAGGGCTTAAGGAATGATGTTCCGAAACCAAAATTGACATAACTTTTAAATGCGAAACCTATGCTTCCCACAAAAAGAAAAAACTAAAATTTGATGTTCACATTTAAGATTCTGAAATTACACTTATGTTAAAAGCCAAAGTCAATGAAAAATCAAAGAAAGTCCAGTTAAGCGACGAATCGAGGCCAAACATATTCAAGGTTGTTCAGTTTCTGCTTCTTGAATATTTTCTGCTTAAGGTATCCATTTTCTCCATAGAAACTGACAGAAAAATCCCTTTGAAATGTTTTATAAATTAAATTCCAGTGTTCCTGCTATGCGGACTGAATATTTCATTTGATTATTTTAGGAAAAGACTAGCCTCATTCATAAGCTACGTCTAAACCTAAAAGGGGAAATGTTTCTTCTCAGAACCTTAAAAAAAAAAAGATGAGCAAAAAAGTTCATGAAAGAACACTGCTGCCACGTCTTTTCCCCTCCCCCACTCACGTAGTGGCTACTTCATCCCTTTAGAGTGCATTCCAAGGGAAAGTCCAAGAGCCACAGCTCTCGGAGAAACCAGAAACAGTTAAGTTGAAATTGGCAAGCCTCTTTGGCCTTTTAGATCAATTCCTAAAAGGAGATCTAGCTTCTTTTCCATCCCTTTCTTAAAGCAAACAGTGCAAAAATTCCAGAGTCTTCTCCACTCTATCCGGAACGTATGTTTAGTGTGTAAAAACTGAATTGTATTTAATACATTCAATTATTTAAGAAAACAGTCTCGTATTTATGGTACCATTCTCCCCCTTAAGACGTAGATAGATCTGAGGGCCATTCACGTACTCCAACTCAAAGTTCTCACACAACCACGAAATTCGTTTTACTGACGTGGGCTTTAAAAGCAGCAAACTGCTGAGAGAAAGTGGGGGGAGGGAGAGAAGCTCATGTGCCTTTAAAAAAATTTATGTGGAAGAGGGAAGGAAGAAGACTAGCTTGCCCAGTGACTGGGTGATCTGACAGCCGAGTTCCTCAACCAAACAGCCCAAAACTCGCCGCCCGAGGCTATATCTAGCAGCTCAAGCAGCACCGCTGCGCGCAACAGTTGAGTTAAGCCTGAACTTCTCTAGGTAGGTCCACTTCCCAGACCTGACGACTTTCGATAAGGTAAAACTGCCTAGAGAGCTTCAGCTGAGCTTTAAAATCCTCTCTCCATTGCCATATACTAACCATCTGCTCCGCGGAAGCCAAAAACCCACACCCCGCACTCGCGTTCCCGTCAGCTGTGCAGGTATTGCGTGAGAGGAGCTCGGAAAAATCAACAGGGTGATTCCTCCCCGAGAAGGAATATTCAAGAAAGTCCTAGTCCCTAGGGCGGGGACTAAGGCTGCCGCAGCCCCAACAGCTGGGGGCGCCCACCACGGAGGAGGTGAGAAGGGGAGCATGAAGAGGGGCAGAGGGGCCTGTGGAGCCTGGGGTCAGGCGGCGCAGGGCGAGGGGCCGAGAGTCTAAAGAAGACACCGAGGCTGCGGTGGTAAACTGGAGAACCCCCGCCCCCAAGCCATCCCACCACAGGGGGCAAGCACCGGACACCAGAGCCGTCCGAAAAGGACCATGGCTGCCCAAGGGCCTCAGCCTCAGTCCCCAAGATCGGGGAAGCGTCTCACCTGGGAACCGGGACGGGAGCGCGCGCTTCGGTCCTCCGTTGCCTGCACACGGGCAGGTTACCTACTCCCTTCCCTCAGCCCGCTGGCGGCGCAACTGGGCAGCAGAGGGAGCCAGTCAGCCCTTTTATAACCTCTAGGCCGCGACGGCAACGCCGGGTAGGAGGCGACTGCAGACCTCGCTACGTGAGCTCGATCACACCAGCGCCCGCCGACTGCGCAGGCGCAGGCTCGGGCCTCCCTCCTGTCCCACCCCCCGCCCACACCCGCGGCCCACACCCGTACGCCCCACGAGCTGGTGGAGTCCAAGGCGGGAGGAGGGGCTGGCAGGCGGGCCTGGGATGTGATGCGCCTGCGCCGTAGTTACCTCAGATTTGCCCAGCTCCTATTTATCTATCAGGTTTTTTAGCGCCTTAGTTTCAGGATCAGCCTCAGGCGTGAGCGGTGAAGCCACCAACAATGAAATATGTTAAATATGAGACGAGAAGTATGGTAGCGTAGAAAATAAAGCAGAAAAGAAGGCTCTGGTGAAAAATAAGTGCGTCCTGTCTTGGTATCTCAGCTGTCTTGACCCTGAGACTTGCGTTACTAACTTTTCCCGCTCTACTCGACTGTCGTGCTAATCTCGCTTTATCTCCTACCCTTTTACTTTATCAGTAGGTAATGGACTCTGTGCTCCAGAGACAGATTTTTCTGGGTTCAATTCCTGGCCCAGTCCCATATAACAGTTGGGCATTAACCTCTTTATATCGATTTCCTCATCTATAAAATGGTAATACCAGTATACACCTGGGGATTACTGTGAGAATTAAACGAGATAATGTATGTAAAGCAGTAGCACAAATCTAGCACATAGAAAGGACTTGGTAAATATTAGATTGTGCTGTTGTAGTAAGACACCCAGTTGTTTTTGGTCTTAGTCTAACATTTGCCTTAGTCATTATATTCCTAAAAGAAGAAAGCCTTACTATCAGGGAGCATACAATGAAGGAGATACTCTTCTCTTTTTCAGTGAAAGGGAAGAATGACTTTTCTAAGATTTGTTATTCATTGAAAATGTTTTCACAAGTTTTCCATGTATGCTAAAAAGCACAGTATTAACATTTGACTCTTACCTAGGAGATGGAGCTGATAGCACAGATATAGAAATAGAGGGTACTTTGGGAGCCCTAGGCAACCAGAAAGTAGATACAGTAGTCCCTCCTTAGCTAGGGTTTCGCTTTTCTGTGATTTCAGTGGTTTCAGTTACCTGTGGTCAACTGTAGTCTGAAAATATTAAATGGAAAATTTCAGAAATAAACAATAAACAGGTTATAAGTTTTAAATTGCATGCCTCTAGATGGTGTGATGAAATCTCATGCCATCCTGCCCAAGTCCAGGTCATGAAACATCCCTTTGTGTATATATCCATGCTGTATATGCTCCCTGCCTGTTAGTTACTCTGGGTTATCAGATCCACTGTCACAGTATCACAGTGCTTGTGTTTAAGTAAGCTTTTTTTTTACTTCATGACCCCAAAGTGCAAGAGTAGTGATGCTGGAAATCCAGATATGCCAAAAAGAAGCCATAAAGTGCTGCCTTTAAGTAAAAAGGTGAAAGTTCTTGACTTAATAAGAAAAGAAGAAAAATCACATTTTGAGGTTGCTAAGATCTGTGGTAAGAGTGAATCTTCTATCTATGAAATTATGAAAAATGAAAAACAAATTAATGCTAATTTTGCTGTTGCACCTTGAACTACAAAAGTTACGGCCATAGTGTGTGACAGGTGCTTAGTTAAAATGAAAAAGGCATTAAATTTGTGGATGGAAGACATGAGCAGAAAACATTGTTTCAATTAACAGCAACATAATGCAGCAGAAAGCATTGAGCTTATATGAAGTCTTCAGCAAGGGATCCCCTGAAATGAGTGACCATATTAATATAACTTTTATTACAGTATATTGTTATAATCATTCTATTTTATTAGTTATTATGTTAATATCTTACTGTACTTAATTGATAAATTGAACTTTATCATAGGTATGTATGTATTGGAAAAAACATAGACTACAGAGGGTATGGCACTATCCATGTTTTCAGGTATCCACTGAGGATCTTCTAACATATTCTTTGTTGATAAGTGGTGACTACTGTATAGTGATATCTAAATCAGCAATTCCCAAAGTGTGGTTGGGGGTCCACAGGATCAAAATTATTTTATACGAAGACTTTATTTGCCTTTTTCACTCTAATGAAAGTACAATGGGGTTTTCCAGAGTTTACATGTCCTGTGCAACAGATTGAATGAAGAAGCAGATATGAGAATCTTCTATTAGGCCAGACGTTAAAGAGATTTGCAGAAATGTAAAATAATGCCTCCCTTTTCACTAAATTCTTTTTGCTTTGGAAAACATTTTTCATTTAAAAATGTTATGTATGTTAACATGTAACATTTATTATTGTTTTTGAATGAAGTAATAAAAAATATTTTACATGTTTGATTTGTCTCCTGATACAGTAAATGTTGATAGATATGATCCATATAAAAGCCTTTTGGAATACTCAATACTTTTTAAGAGTGTGAAATGATCATGAGTCTAAACTTCGTGGTCCAAACAAATAGCAGGGAGCCAGCCTTTTGACACAAGAGGCAAAGATCTGCTAGAAAAACCTTTGCCGCAAATGGAGCTGTAATCAATTTATTCACTCACGCTATATAAGAGCTGACTGTGAAAACTGACAATTTACACTATAAATAAAATAGCTCCAAACCTTGAGGCAGGTTTACCATGAAGCTAAGAAAGCTTCAGCTTCAGAAGACTTCATCTGCACTAGCCCTTTCCAAGGCCCTGGAAGAGGCCCTGGCACTATGTTCACACAATCATATGCTTTTGTAAAATTTGTATAAGTAAAAATTTTAACTGCCATTTTTAGATTGCTAATTCTTTCCTCACTGATTTCCCCCTGTCACTCTTCCCCTTGTCTAGTGGTTTTGGAGTGACTAGCAGGCATTTAAAAATTTTAGCTGAAGGGAAGTTGAGTTAGAACACATTTGGTATGAGTTTAGTGGGATATATTATTTGTAATTCACAGGCACTTCCATGTAAAGTTAAGACATTGCCAGCTGTCCCAGTGTAGGAGTGGAATCCAAGAATATTCCTACCACTCATTGTGCCCACCCACCTAGCACTGTAAAACAAAGATGCAGGGCCAGACATTTTATAGATATTTAAATGTGTCCTATGTTCTAGCATCAAAAATACATGGATAGTGGAGGAGAAGCAAAGTTGAAATGGTAGGGAGCCTGAAGCTAATCTATAGGAAATTCTTCCAGTTATTGGTTGTGTAAAGTTTTAAAGATTTAGTTCTTATCAATGCTTAGCCAATAAAAGGAAGTATTTTTTGTCAGAATATAATGAAGATATACACAGTAAACTAGGATGTCATCAGTTCAAAGAAAACTAATGTGCCTTGAACCCTTTAAAGTCACATATTAAATAGCCTTATTTGAGATTTTCCAAAATATGACAACGATCTTAAAAATTTACACGTCATATCAATAATGAGTTGTGAAGCTGAGAGAAACTTCTAACCTATCCCTATTAATATCATTTGGTTGCCCAAAAAGGACACTTCATATCAAATCTACATATGACTTCTCAACCTGATAATCCCTGCTTGGTTATAGTGAAGATGAGAGATACCTTGGAGAATAGAAAATGATATGACTCTCCTTCTAAATGGTCAAACATTAGAGCAGAACTGCTCTAACTTTAATACCGCAAACCTCCAATAAATCTCTTCTTGTATCTGAAAAAGTTGAACGTGTTCATCAATTAGTGAATGTTTCTTTAAAAAAGTATTATAAGTCCTATATTCTTAAGGGAAAAAAAAACTATTAAGTAGCTATGGCAACAACTAATGAGCAAAAGTGATTTTAAACTCAATTAATAGATCAATGGCTACTAAACCTTGTGAACAATCCTCTGAAAAACCAACCAATTAGTGACAGCCTTCCACTTTTTAAAGTTACCCAAACAGCAAAAGCCTTGTTGGAATGAACACATCTCTGAAAATCAGCCAATTGTCAACAGTCTCTCCACCAAAGTAATCATGTTTCGACAGTTGATATCAACTCACTCCCATCTTTGAAAGTCAGCCAATCTCTGAACTCTACCTTTCATAAAATACTATATAAGATCAGCAAAGAGACTGTGTCAAATAAATAGTGCTTCTACATATAGAAAATAACATAACTAGCTTTTTATTTCACATTATGAATGATGGCTTCTTCCTTTGACATTGAGCACCTGCATGCTTAACAAAAAGAAAAGCCAAAATAGAAGACGTAGACTGTTATTGAAGGTGGTTTTAACCAAATTGCATTCAGACATATGAAACAATTAAAAATCATTTGAGAGAGTGGAGAAGTATTGAACCGTGAAGAGTATAAAATATTGCATACCTTTTCTTAAGAGGAGAATGAATAAAGTTGAATTTGGTAATAGTGGGTAGATTTTTTAGCTGGGAATTAAGATGATGGAAGCAATATTTTAGAAATTTTTGCTATGTGAATTAGAGGAGAAGGAAAGTGGAGCCTAAGCTGGTAATCCAAGATTCATTAAATATATATTTAATGGAACACCTACCTACTGTGTCCAAGACACTGCCTACAGGGCTGTGGAAGATCAAACTTTAATTAGTCTCTGCTCTGAAGGGGTTTATAATCTTGTTGGATAGAGTTAAAACCTGCACTGTGGCAATGGGAATTCATTCATCCAAGAAATATTTGCATACCTATATGAGCCAGACTATGCTAAGAGCTAGGTTTATGATTCTTTCTGTCATAGAATTTAAAGTCCTTTAAAGGAAACTAACAATACACTGAGTAAATAAATCAATAAATATTGATAACTGTAATAAAGGAAAATAACAAAATGCTATGGAAAAGAATAATAGAAAGAACATAATTTAGATTGATAATCTAGGGAAAGTGCCGCTGAAGAAGTGACATATAAACTGAAACCTGAGTTATCCGGGTGAAATGTGTGAATAAATTCTAAAGAAAGAAAATAACATGTGTGAGGACCATGTGGCAGGAAAAAGCTTGGTGCATTTGAGAAGCTAAAAAAAATTCAGTGTGATTGTAATGCTAAGTAAGCAAGGGAGCAACTGGTATGATAGGTATGCAAAGGCTAGATTGTGCAGGGGCTGGTTAGTGCTGTG